CACACACACACACACACACACACACACACACACACACACACACACACGCAGTGACCTGAGCAGTTGTCTGGATACAAAGAACAGACAAGCGTTGAGACTCCCTTCCCTACACCTTCACTGGTGACAAACACTGAGGTAAACGGAGTAAACTGAAGGAGCTCCAAGGACCGTCCACAAGGACAAGCCACATGCCAGTGATCATGAGGCTCAGAGGTTCCCTAGTGAAAGCCATGTGATGTCACTGTAACTATTAATAGCCAAGGAGTCTTTGTCCTGATTTCTTTCTATTTTTATTTTTCTAACACAAGAAGAGGTTAGGTTCCCTCCTAGAATACATGGCAAATGGCATGAACACATTTGTCTCTTCTTTAAATTCCCACACATGAACATACCGGCACACTTTCTTCCAGGATCACTTCCCACAGCTTGCAGATTTGCTGTTTGTATCTTTGATCTTAATTCCAATGTGATCAGATTTTTCAAGATGTGATTTCTTAAACTGATAGCAATTTTTAAATTAAAAACAAACTTAAATAATGGTGGGTTACTCAGTCTCTAGGGTTTCTTGTTTGTTTTGGTTTTGTGGGGGGAGTATTTTGTTTTGTTTGAGAATTTAAGTAATGTAATGGTAGTGATTTAAAAAAATAAAAAGTGTATGACCAGGTGGCTCTATGGTATATTTTGTTGAACAATGATTAAAAATAATTTCTTCTAAATGAGACCTGACCACAAAATGGAACCATTAATGAGCAAAGACATTGTCACCAAAGCGGAAACCATGGCTGACTGCTTCTGGTGCCTCCCACCCCACAAGTGTTGTCTTCTTTCTTTCTTTCTTTCTTGTTCTTAATAGCAGAGTAAATAAGCAACCAGCAAGGCCTAAATGTTTTCAGCCAAAAGCAGAGTCCAAACTACTCAGAGAAAACATTTGGCCTCTGTGGTTTTGTAATATGTTCCAGAACAGCAAGTCCAGCAAGGAACACTGTGAAAAACTCCCAACCCTTGGAATGATGGTAGAGAATGTTACAGTATCAGACATTTCAGTTGGTCTTTTTTTTTCTTGCAAGTCCATAATGAGGCTTGTAAAAAAAAAAAAAAAAAAAAAAAAAAAAAAAAAAAAAAAAAAAGAAGGAGGAGGAGGAGGAAGGAAGAATGAATGAATGAATGAAAAAGAAAAAAATTACAGTGATGTAGAAGTTCTCACGGGAAAAATAATGGCAAGAAATCCTAAATTTAAAAGAAACAGCTAATCTGCTATTTTGATTGTTCTTCAAAACTTATGCTGAACCAATGAGCCTGATTAAAAACACTTGGCCCACTTCTATAAAGCATCATAGCTTTCTCTATGCTTCGTTTGTATACACCACAAAACTCCAGATAGACTTTTTTTCAAGCGCTCACTAACAAAGTGCTGACTTTGTTGGGATGGCTGAGCTAATTTCGTGAACTCAGTGTGAAACCTGAGCTAAACAAAATTGTGGTAATTTTCCTTAATTTGTAAAAGTGATTGGAGTGCAAACAAAATTTTCCTCTTGGGTCAATCCTATAATTTTCAATTAACTAAAACTAATCGGCAGGCAGGCACCAACCCTGTATTTTGTTTAAAGGGCTGGGAGGCATTTCTGAGGGTCAAGATATATTAACTGGCTTGTTTGTTTGGTTGGTTTTTGTCATTGTGAGAGAGATAGAGACTGGGTAACTATGAAGCAAGCTTGATTTGGTTCATAGCATAAAATTATAGGGAAAACACTATGAGGTAGAATACCACAGCAAAAATAAAATAAAATAAAATCTGCTAGTTGAATTACGTGACTTAATTAGGATGTACTAACAGCCAGGTCTGTGCTCCAGACCCCTGTGTGTGAAAACAACTTCCCATCTACATGGGTAGGCTTAGTAGACCGTCAATAATAAACAGAGAAAAAAAAGCTGTGACTAGATCATGGATGGAGCTAGTCAGGTGATGAGAAGCATAGGGCCCTCGAATTTACAACAGTCTAGGCCTCACCTTGTATAGCATGTTAGAAACAAAGAGTCTCATGGCCTCCCCAGGACCCCTTCCAATGCAGATTCGAAACAGTAAAAGATCCCCAGTGTTTGCTTTACCTATTACATGTATTTCCACATCCTGCCAGTCTGGATACTGCCTGATTGGCTGTGCTTGGTGGGAGGGATTTCAGATGCACCCTGTAACCCTAGCTGCTTACCACAAAGGCAAGGCCATGTGCCAAGGTTGTGGTGGGGGAGGGGTGCATCTTACTGGGGAAAAAAGCACCAACCCAGAATAAACTATGAAAACTACCAAATGTATTTAATTCAAATGTTGCAACAGGCTAGAAGAAAGGAGTACTGTTCATTAAACCTCAACCATGTTCCAAAGACCAAACACCAACAAGCTACTAAGCTATTAGAAAGACCTTGGACCTGTCTAGTACTGCCTGCTGTCTCTTATTTCTCATGTTATTTCTCTAAGTAGCTAACCAATTTTTTCATCATTCAAAACCATTACACCCACATAAACTTTTAGTAATAACAATCATAGCAATATCTTTGGACCTATATCTGTTGAAATGGAGAAAATCTGTCGTAACAGAAACAAGTTTTTTTAAAAAAAAATACACATACATGATCAAATAAAACAAATACATGAGGACAAGCCACCTCTATGATAGCTATCTGTAGTCATGCTTACCTGTATAGATGAATCTGCCTGGAGTCCCTTTGCAGAATTGCTTGGACTTGTAGGACAATGTGACTTCCACAACACCAGGGATGTGCCGAGGAGGTGTCTGCACTCGGATGGCATGGGGAGTTATCAACTGCAGGAGACATAGAAGGGGGAATGGTCATTGAAATACATAAAGTACTCCTGTCCCAGCTGCCCTATCGGCTCTCCATAAACAGAGCCTTAAAACACATCATTAACCTGTCAATGGACACAATCTGGATGGAACCAGTAGGAAAGATGCTGACAACAACATTTACAATTGCTCTGCATACCACCACAACAGCATTATCTGGGTTTTCCTTCACAGGGGCCCTGGGTTTCCTGGTTTGGAAAGGGAACCTGGCCTAATGAAATGGTTTATCTCCCACAGGATATCCTTTGGAAAACCTGTTTGCAACAGATGCCCAAATCAGAGCAGAGCTTTGCCATGCCTCTCCATGGGCCTGGTGTTTGAACTGAGCTCTTAAACACATGGAGAGTACAGAGGTAGGAAAACAGTAGGCCCAGGCACTCTAATTAGCTGCAGAACACGTGTAGGAAACGCCCTGAAAACCATTTGGCACATTAACTACCAGAGGCACAATCAAAGCACTTTAAAGGGGAGAGCAAAGGAGTAGCTTATGCCTCCCTGGAGTAGCTTATGGCTCTGGCTAAACTAAAGGCTCTCTATAAAAGAGAAATAGAAGGTTGGGAAGAGGGCAATATCACATGCACAATGAGAAAGTTCATTTCTGAACTCTATTGACAATCAAATTATACTATGAAGCAGAATATATTTTTATTAGTCTTATCTCAGCTTATATAAAAAATGTTATTAATGGTCATAAAATGAGCATAATACAGTTCTTAAAAAAAAATCCAGCCCTGGAATTTGACTGTTTGACCCATGATGGAGCTGCATTCTATAAGTTCTCTCTCTGAGGTCAATAATGCCTCAATGCTGTGGCATAGTCTGAGCACACAGTGGATAGAATATCCTTTATGGGAAATCTATAATGAGTCAATGTTAGCTTGTGTTTCTGCTATTGGATGGCAACAACATAGAAGGGGGTTTTATTTAAATGTGCAAACCACCGAGTTCAAATGTTTTGCCTGAGAATCATGGGTGAGGTGATGAGAAACCAAATACAGCCTCTGGTTGCCACCGAGGGAAACGGTCTTGTGCTGGGCAGAAGAATGAGTTGTCAATGCCAAAATCCACAAGTAACGTCATTAAACGTTCTGGGAAACATAGAGAAGACACTGGGGTAAAGTCACCTCAGGAAATCAGAAATGCTTTAGCCTCTTCTCTAGAATACACAAGAAGTCTGAGCTATTGGCTAGAGATTCACCAAGAGATATTTTAGTAAGACCATGCCACAGTGGAACTCTGGAGACCAAGTTCATTACCATGGCTGGTGTATTTTTGGAAAGCTAAGGTTCACTCACAAAAAGCACCAACAATATTGCCTTGAAATTTTTGCCATAGGCTAAGAAGCTCATGGGCTCTGGAGGAGAAAGCTACTATTACTATTTTGCTAAGTGGACAGAATCTCAAGCTACCTTCTAAGAATGTGCCTCTCTAGATCCACAGGTGAGTGCAGCTCTCAGCCCTCATCAGAAATATGTCTTTGGTAGCTGCTGGCTGCTAGTAGAGGAAAAGCCAATTTTCTTTACAGATGTGGCCCTGGTAGGCAGATCATGCTCTAGTTGATGGCCCTGCCCATGTATACAGGGGCAGCACTAATTAGACTCAGATTTTTAAAACAAGAGAGAAAAGGGAGGAAGGTATGAATTTGGGCAGGGGTTCTCTAGGTGTAGTGTGTGTGTGTGTGTGTGTGTGTGTTGTGTGTGAAGAGGAACAAAATATATTATATACATGCATGATGTTCTCAATGAATAGATGAAAGGAAAAAGCATTATATTCCTATTGAAATCCTTCCAAAAATACTTTGAATGCTGTCTAAAACATGCACAACATATGTAATGTAAGTTAACCTTGATAAATCAAGATCGTGTTTCGAATTGCCTGTCTTATATCTTGCTGTAATACATAAAACACTAAGTGACTACTGAAGTATAAAGTGGTATTTTCATGCCCTAAAATGCTTCCAAACAGTTAAGCACTTGAAATTATTTGTTGCATTCTGTGCTTTTGTCCTCTGTACCTTCTAATCTGTACTTACAGTCTGTAGGCACAGACACAAGGAAGTCAAATGTAATACTGTATAAGGAACAAGAGAGGAACTAGGTCCAGATCATCCTTGCCTAACTGTATTGGGATAGTCTCTGAAGCCTGACCATATGTTCTCTATGCAGTTGGTTCTACCTGAGTAAGAGTGGCGTTTATGCTATATATAACTCTCAGAAACTTATTTACTGTTTGACATTGAGAATTCCCTGATTATCCTTCTCCCATTAAACAGTTTTTGAGATTAGGAGATCTTTATTTCCTATGTCTATCCTTAAAAGATACTTAATGAGGGACTGAAGAGATGGCTCAGTGGCTAGAAGTATATGAGGTATTCTTGCAGATGACCTGGATTTAGTCCCCAGCACCCAATATCCACATGGTGGCCATGACCATATTAAATTCCAGTTCCAGGAGATTCAATGCCCTTTTTTGCTGGCCTATATAGGTACCAGGTGCACACATGATACACATACATACATGCAGGCAAAACATTCATAAACAGAAAATAAAAATAAACAAAATTTAAAAAATGTTATGAAACAAATGCCTTCATACATGATTTTCTAAGTATTCCTGGAATACATTCGTGTGTAAGTGTTCTCATAATTCCATTAGGCGTTTTGACTCCAATAGGTATAGTAATCCAAATACCACCAGTTCTTCTTAAGCCGGTAATAATTAATACATTCCTCAGTTAAGTTACATCAAAATGATGATCCAGCTAATGCTGCACTCATATCCCAACATCAGCTTGTTTTGCTGCCTATATTGTTTCAATATGTATAGAAAGAGGAACTCCAATAAGAAATGATCAAGTAAAAATTTTAAGGTTTTGAAGAGCTGGAGGGATGGCTCAGTGTTAAACTGCTTGCTGCTCTTCTAGAGAAGCAAGACCTTGGGTAGCTTACAACTGCCTTAAATCAATCCAGGTCCAGAGGATCTGATACCCTCTTCAAGTCTTTTGGGGTAACACACACACACACACACACACACACACACACACTAGTCAAAAAAAATAAAAATCTAAAATGCAAAGAAGTTAAGACCATATTAATAAAAGATCTACACTAAGAGTGTTTTATTCCTAAGCTGAAAACTTTAGATTTATCTTCCTTGTATATACGTGTGCCTACCCCTTATGCTTACACAGGAAGTAATACTGTAAATAAATTACTGTGGGAAAATATTATCAAAAATAAAAGACTACCGCCAGTTTGGAGTACTATGAACACCATGTGATTACACAGGAATTAGATATGTAATTGCCCAGAGGAAACCTCACAAGGAGGCAGTGACATGTTAACAGAAATGGCCTCTGGTAAAGTTGTAGGTATCTTTAGTTTCCTCTGACTGACTCTAATTTCTCCAGCTCTTCAACAGCAAAATGAAAGAATATTACACTCAGGGGAAACCACTTGGCACTGGGTAAAGACAGAACACTTGTGGTCTCTTCATGGCATGGAGAAGCTACCAGGCCACCAGTAAGCAAGAATGTGGTCCCCTCAGGCTGCCTACATCAGTGTTTGTCTTTTCCTGAGTTGGGTAACAAACAGGACCAGAAAAGCCCTATGGAGTGGAGCCAAATGACACAGGCTCATTAAGCACCAAAGGTGGCAAGGGAGGCCTCTGTAAGAGAGACAGACCCAAATGTGGAGGTGGCTAAACAGGGCTCCTCAGGACAGAAGCGCTGGAAAGATCAGAGAGGATATGGGGCAGATGGAGCAGCTGCCCTTGTGGAGGCAACAGTCTGAAGAAGCCACCTGCAAATTCTGGAAGCCCAGAAGAGGGTCTGTGTGTGGCCTTGTGTAGCATCAGAAGGACATTAGGCATAGGAAGGCATGATCGCTGAGCATTTGCAACTAGAGAGAAAAACAGGCTGAAGAATGCTGGGAAGAGTCATGCCTTTGAGGGAGCTGTCTTCTCCGAGGGGCCATAGCATGTGCTCTCTGTAGTGCTCTTGTTCTCAATAAGTAATGATGGCAATGACCTAAGCAATAATGACCTTCTGTAGTCTTCTCACAGTGTGCTCAGCACTAGCCTGAGCTCTCTCAGTGACTTATGCCCTATAGACTTCAGGGGGCAGGTACGGCTATTAGCTGGGTACATAGATAAGGAAAGTGACTTTTGGGAAAGTTTAGAAACATAACAAGGGACCAATTAGAAGCAGCAAGCTCCCCAGACTAATGACCATCATCGTAACACCACAACTACTGTCTCCCTCTCTCTCTCTCTCTCTCTCTCTCTCTCTCTCCCTCCCTTTTATCTTTTTCCCCATAACTTCTGGTTCATGGGCTTTACACCCTCTCTCTGCCTTTGAAAACATCAATTGCATCCCTAACACATCTTTTACCCTCCATGTCTGGGAGCAGAGGAAGCACGTTATCCCTGGGAAGCTAAGCTGAGACAATCCCCCAGCAAAGCTCAGAAGCAACTCCACCATCAGCCCACATGCATGCCTTCCAGCCACTGGCATGCTATGAAAGAAAAGCAACAGGAAGTTCTGAACCATGTGCAAACAGATTACTAGAAAATACACAAATGATTTCAAATTTTCCCCACCAACCCTACGACCCTGAACTACCTGAAACATTAGAAAGTTGAATTAAAAATAATAATAATAAAACAAAGAAAAACTCAAAGGAATAAAGAAAAGGAAGGGGCAGTTTGTCGTTCTCTGGAAAACTAATTAACACTAATTATCAGAAAAAAACCTGGAGAGGGATCTTGGTCTTTGAATTGGCACCTATGCTCTACTAGTGTCACTATCTACGCCTCAGTTTACCAATTGAATCATAGGCTGCTTGAGCTCAGATCTTCTCTGTGGGAGCTGAAAGTAATATTAAATATGTTTTGTGTTTGGATAGTGCTTCTCTAGGGACGCTAAAGTGCCTTCTAGATTAATTTTTTAATTTATGTAT